TCTTTCTGGGATACTCTCAAACCGTAAAAGCCTATAGAGTCTACATCAAAAGGATAAAAATTGTCATAGAAAGCATCAATGTGTCCTTTAATGACTCCACACCAATGACTTCTGGACACAACAGTTCAGGACTCGGACTTCAAAGAAGAGCATCTGATTCATCACTTGGCAAAACCAATGAATCAGAGTTAGCTCAATTATTTGAAGACATCTTCGAAGAAGAAGTAATCTCTAGACATGCACCTACTGCAAAAATCCACTTCCAGAACCAATGAAGAACATGAAGTCTCCAATGCTAAAGGTACAACTCTTACTGAAACTCATGTTACTTCACCTTCTACTTCTTTTGTGTCTTCAGATCAAGAACAAGAACCAGAGTCTAACTCTGGAGATGATYTCTTCGAGGGGRARCAAGCAGTTCCATCAATCGATGAAGAACTGCATCCTGTTGCTCCAGAACCCCAGTCAAGCACCAAGTGGACGAAAGACCACCCACATCACCAAATCATTGGTGATTCAACATCTGGTGTAAAGACGAGATCAACAATAGCCAATGAATGCCTCTTCGCCAACTTTCTCAGCATGATAGAACCAAATAAAATTTATGAAGCCCTACAAGATCCAAACTGGATAGACGCAATGCAAGAAGAATAACTCCAGTTTGTAAGAAACAAGGTATGGTCCCTTATGCCTCTACCCAAAGGAAAGACGGCCATAAGAACCAAATGGATCTTCAGAAACAAAAAGGACAAAGATGGCATAGTCATAAGGAACAAGGCCAGGCTTGTTGCCAAGGACTGCCAGGAAGAAAGGATTGACTACGATGAGACATTTGCTCCCGTCGCAAGACTTGAAGCCATCAGGATATTCCTAGCCTATGCAGCTCACAAAGGCTTTAAGGTCTATCAGATGGATGTCAAGTCTGCCTTCCTCAACGGCAAACTTCAAGAAGAAGTTTACGTGCAGCAGCCTCTTGGGTTTGAAGATCCAAAACATCCAGAATATGTCTACTTTATGGACAAAGCCCTCTATGGGCTGAAGCAAGCACCCAGGGCCTGGTATCCAACTCTATCCACCTTTCTCATCAACAATGGCTTCGAAAAAGGTACAATCGATACAACCCTCTTTCTCAAGAAGCATAAAGGTGACATACTACTAGTACAAAAAAGGAGGAGGAGGAGGAGGAGAAGATCTAATCCAAGGGTTGTGATTATTGAAAAGTCTCGTTGCGTTTATGAATGTTCAGATTGCCAGATTGTAGATCTAATCCAAGGGTTGAGAATTGATCTTACGGATCTCACGAAAAACCCTTGGTCTCATTTGATCCCAAGTATATATATATATATATATATATATATATATGGGTTGGTTCAAATAGTAACTAAGATTTTTGTGTTAACTTTGTTAACCAAGCTCAACCAATCAAATTCCATCTTTTCTTTAGGTTCACATATAACTCATATATTAATGATAAGGGTAATTAAGTAATTTGTCATTTATGTAACTCCCAAATCATTAATTGGGAGTTACAATTCTAAAAATCTCAATAATTGATGATTATGTAATATTGATATTTTTTATACGTGTTCATGTTTTGTAATTTCAATTTATTCTATCCATAATTATATTGATTGAATTTCCGATTGTAAAGATTTCGATATCGTCCTAATAATATGGATAAACCTATTGGAAAACAGATAGACAACAATGAGAATGAAAAGGTTAAAATCGTCTACGACTACAATCAAAATTCGAATTCATATGTAATTGTTAAAGAATTGTTCACAAGTGTTCATATTGTGTTCATATATACACTAGCTGCATATCTCAACATTGGCTTCCTCCTGAATGTGTTCATAATGAAGGAACTATTGTTCACAAACTGTTTATATTGTGTTCATATGTACACTAGCTGCATTTCTCAACATTGGTYTGCTCCTGAATGTGTTCATAATGAATGAACTATTGTTCACAAATTGTTCATATTGTGTTCATACTTGTTTTTTTATTTATTTACTTTTGTGTAACAACTATATATTCTTATTATATTCATATTGTGTTCATAAATGTTATACAGTCCAAGTTTATATATATATCAATTTTTGTTCGTATTTGACACAATGGTTCATATATTTATATATATGTATATATGTATATATATATATGTGTGTGTGTGTGTGTGTGTGTTCATATGGTTCTTACATTAACAAAAATAAATGAATAAAAATAATGAGATTTTTTATTTTGTAACTCCCAATTAATGATATGGGAGTTACATAAGAAAAGAAAATTACCTAAATATTCTCTTCCTCTTTGTTCAAATATGTTTTTTTAAATTGTAAATTTAAAAATTTAATTTTTTATCATGATTAATCATAACCCTTTATTGTAATAATCAATGACCAAGATTGGTTAACAAAGTTAACAAAAAAATCTTGATTAATATTTGAAACAAACTCTCTCTCTCTCTCTCTCTCTATATATATATATATATATACTATCTTATTAAGCAAATTTAGCAAAAGTCTTAAAAGTCTTAAAATACTAAATGACCAAGATACCCTTTATACTATTTTTTCACTTTTTCACCCCTCCTCTCCTCACTACTTTTTCACTTTTTACACTTTATACCTCTATAATTAGTTAATTAATTTACTTTACGTCATTTACTTTTAAATGCTTCATTTTAAACCTTTATCAAATTAACATACATAATCGTGTATCAATTAAAACATGTTTAAAAAATACATTTTTATTTTAACAAGTTACACCATTATAATCGTCTCGTTAATACCTTCGAAATGAGTCCAATATTGAATAGTTTTTGACTTAATTATATTATTATATATTATATATACTGTGAAAAAATATTTTTAATATTTACGATTTATACTTTTATAGTTAACTATTTATATATATACTATATATTTTGGGGTTGGGCTGACCAAATTGCATTGTATAATATGTTCTTGGGTTTTTTTGAAATATATATATATATATATACATGTATTAATATATTTAATTCAACCTTAAGCAGTTGAAATTTCATTTTAAAACTCATCTTTTTTGGTCTTTTCATGACTTATGATATGTTAAATTTGTAGTTTTTTTATTGGTTTTGAGTGTTTATCTTAAAACTCAAGTTTATTGGTTCTTTACTCTTGATGTAAATCGAACACATTTGTGGAATCGTTTAAATATGTTGGATTTTAAATAAATTGGATTTTAAACTGTCATATAAATTTTTTCATCGATAGTCTGTAGTCAGCCCGTTCCTGACATTTATTAGGCCCTGGGCAAACGTAAAAGTCAGGCCCATGACAAGAAACAAGACTTTTAAGTCGTTGCTAAAAGTCCATTTATCATTAGAAAAAGTATATAACAACATGTAGTCACTATAACTTGTGGCGGAAACATGTCGCTAAAAAGTGAATCGTCAATGCTCTCTTTTTTTGTAATGACCCTCGGTAAGTACGAAAAAAAATTCAATAAATGTTTTCCATTAGTATAAAATTGAGTACAAGAAATGTTAATAATTTACCGAGGAAATAAATCTTATTTATCTTTATCATATAAATATATATATAAGAGTACTTAAATTTACATACTTCTTATTAGGTAATTTGAAACCAAGAGTATAGAAACTATATTGATAATTTTTTTATAAAAAGTAAGAATTTTTTTAGTTTATAACAAGAAATATGTGTTATTTTGATACAAAAAGAGAATTCGTGTGAATGAGGTAATCGTGAGGGTCAATGAGAGATCAATAATAAAGAAGATTTTCAAGGTTTTCTAGACAAGTAGACAAATGAGGATCAATAAGAATATGAAAGAAAAGATGATCCATTGAGATTCAATAAGAATAAATAATGAATTAAACATATAATATGTAAGCTCAACAAAAGATTGTTTGAGCACTTAAATAGAAGCTTGTTGTGTGGTGGAATCCCAATGAAAGATACATAAGTCAAACAGTTGATGAAAATATTTAAATTTTATTTTCCTTCTTTTTTTGCTCAACCAAAATAAGATGTTAAGATTAAAAGTTTATGAAATATGACATTATAAGAGACATTAGTAGAAAATATTTATTTATTAATCATAAAACCATGAAACATATCATAAACTATAATAACAATAAATTGATTGTCAAACAATAATAAAATATTTTATGTAGAAACAAAAATAGATAACAATAGTCAACAAAAACAATTAGAACAACATAACCAAATAGCAATAGTCAATAGAAACAGAAATTGATAAAAATATATAGCAATAACAAGCACATGATCTTAACGTTGAATAGTTGAAGCACAAAAACAGTTAAACATATAGAGATAGCAATAGCCAATATCATTAGACCTTTTTGGAGATAAAAAAATTAGAGAGTCAATAATAAACAATAACATATTATAAATGACAATTAATTTTTTTTATTTTCTTCTCCAATATAATTAGTTGATATACTTTTGGGCACTTATTATCTATTAATTCTTTTTGCCCCTTATTGTATACTACAATTTTTTGGTTTTTTTTAATTTATTAAATTATTTTAGACTACTATTGTATTTAAAAGAAAATTTTTGGGCCCCTGATATTTTTGGGCCTGGGCGTGCACCCGTGTCGCCCTCCCCCAGGGACAGCCCTGTCTGTAGTTGGAACCATAACTCTTATTTATTCAAATTCTATTAATATGTAAAGATCAAGTGTAACTTATATCATTGTTAAATCTTATCTTATAAAACCAATAAAACTTCAAAATCGTTAAAATCCATGGCTCCCGTCGCATTACGCAGATACACAACTAATATATATATATAACAAGTGGTCTAAGTTATCCTAGGATACGAAAGAGAGAATGCTATTTAATATGATTCTACTTTGAACATATACATGGAATCTTGCAATTTAGTGGATTTTGTGTGCGTGGCGTGGCTTTAAAACCCTATCGTTTATGATCCCACGTCGTATCCTACGAGACCCCTTCCCCTTCACTCTTTCTGATCCAACGTCTAAACTTAACTGCTAAGCTATCTCCATTCTCACACCTATTTAAACAATCATCTACCCCCACAAAACCCATATGTAAAATGCGAAATCGGTTGTCAAAAATGGATGAAAATGTCTTTGGGTCTTTGCCAGAAGGCTTTATAGCCAACGCTTTATCTCTTACTAGCCCTCGGGATGCCTGCCGCTTGTCGTTGGTGTGTTCTGTTTTTAGGTCGGCGGCTGAGTGGGATGCCGTCTGGGAGAGTTTCTTGCCGTCGGATTACCAGAAGATTGTAGCGGCGGAGGAGGAGGAGGACGGTGGCGATTTCTCTTCCAAGAAACAGTTGTTTCTACGTCTCTGTGATCGTCCACTCATCATCGACGGCGGCAATAAGGTTGGGTTTTCAAGTTAATTGATTTTGTGTTGATTTTGCTTCGATGGATCTACTTTGTTCTAAATGGCTCTGAAATAATTAAGTATGAATCTTGATGATGTTTCTTCCCTCGATGGGTATTTTACAGAGCTTCTGGTTGGAGAAACGAAGTGGCAAGAAATGCTACATGTTGGCTGCACGAGATTTATCCATCGTTTGGGGGGATACTCCTAGATACTGGAGATGGATTTCGATGCCTGATTCACGGTAATCTATTACAGCTCAGATTCTTAATTCTTCATCATCATTTTCAAAAATGTTGTTATATTAATTTATTACTTGTGGTTTGCATAATAAAATGACAGGTTTACAGAGGTGGCTGAGCTCATAAGTGTTTGCTGGTTCGAAGTCCATGGCAGGATCAGTACTTCCATGTTGTCACCCGACACTGCTTACTTAGCCTTCATCGTCTTCAAATCCACATCCGAAACTTATGGTTTCGAATACCAACCTGCAGAGGTTTCAGTTGGGATCAGCGGGCTCAAAACCCAGACTCGGACCGTGTTTCTTGAAGCTGGATTGGATCAGAGAAGAAGACAGCATCCAGTTGTTCCAAGACATCGAATCGGCATGTTTCACCGAGGTCATCGAGCCAACCCGATTGGGCTGATTAACCCGAATTCAAATGGTAATGGGCCCAAGGAGAGAGAAGATGGGTGGCTGGAGATTGAGCTTGGGGAGTATTTTATCAAGAAAGGGGAACTAGGGGAATTGGAGATGAGCATGACAGAAGTGAAGGGGGGAAACTGGAAAGGTGCACTTGTGATTCAAGGGATTGAAATCAGGCCCAAGATTTGTAAAACTTAGATCTATTTTCCTGTATTTGGGACTATTTCACTTCATGTTCTTTTGAAGTATCTTTATGATTTTGGAATTTTATTATACCATAAAGATTACCTAAGATAATGTCGGAGTTAAGTTAAAATTATCCATCGTTTTTCAATTAAGTTGACTGGGTCGGTCTACTCATCTTAACTTTGTGTTTTTCCATTCTTATTTTTATGGACAAACATGGTTCACATTGTTGACGTCAACTCGATAAAATTTGATGTTTTATCGACATTGATTTTGGTCGATTCTAGACATTTAGACGTTCGTTGGCATCATTGCTCCAGTTGTCGTTTGACACGTTGATCAAGTTGTTCAAAGTTGACCAAATCCTATTTTTCTTATTTGAACAAATATTTAATCTTATTACTCTACTTCATAAATGTTATCAATTCTAATCCCTATTAATGTATGTTGGATGGTTTATCTGATATTAACTTTAGAGCCTAAATCCTTAGTTGAAATGTGTACAAACTCGTCGGAACATCCACAACTAAAAGGAGAAACTTTACGACACTTTCAATGTCGATGTAGTTAACATGAGACACATGAAATGTGATGTAGTACTGAAAACATCTTTTTCAGATTAGATATTTTTAAATTATAAATCTTTAAATAAATTTTTTTGAATTGTATACAGTTAAACATATCTTTTAATTATTTTAAGTACAAATGATTATAAAATTTTTATGCAATTTATTTTAATAAGTATGATTATAAAACTGGACATTTTTTTATTAACCTGAATATCTAACCCCTTATACGAATCAACTAATCACACGACAACCACTTGTTTTGCGGGTAGTTTAGAGTCATCGCATTTGAACCTACGTGGCCACAAGGGTATTTTTTTTATTACTCCATAGATTCAAACCTGACACCTTCATGTACTTTTGATCTTTGGAACACAAGTTTAAACCAATCGGATTATTCGGATATCACCATTGTATTCCATATTTTTCTTGTTAAACCAATCAAAGAATAACAATTGATCCCCAATTCTGATTGGTTTCAAACTAATACTTATATTTAAATTATTTACAAATATAGGAATTATTTTTTCATTTGATAATTCTTCAATTTCGAAATTCATGATTGAGTAAATAACCAAATAAGCACATTATTCATGAACGTATTTCTTGTATTAGTTGAGTAACATGTAGAAAATATGTAATTATTGTTTTATTAATAAGTATGTGTTAAAACAATTTAGTCTATATTATATAGTATTTAATGGTAAAAATAGGTCATTTTATAATAAGACGTTGGTTTTCTTAAAAAAAAACACATGAAATTTAAGAGATCTGTCTGTTGTAGCTAAGAGCATTTATTATTATAGCAAATAAATAAAAGTCTTAGTTTTCAGTCAGAGAAAATCAATTATTATATTTTACTATTGTTGCTACATCTTTTACTGCAATTGCTAACTGTTGCTTACTAGCTACCGTTGTGATGTTAGTTGTTGCTCGTCCTCCTACTATTGCTACTACAATTACTGTAGAACTCTGGATGATTACCACTATCGTGATGAACAAATATTACGACTACCATCACCGTGGCTCTAAATAGTACAAATAAGACTACAAGTACTAGTACTACTATTATGATGATGATGATGATGATGATGATGATGACAGTGACTATTGTGATAGCTATTATGACGACTACAATGAACACAAAGGCCAACACCATGGGTAGTAGTATTAATAGATATTGGACGGAAACCTGTATTGCAAGCTATATACATTTAGTCCCTAAATCGAACCTCTAGGTGCATATAACCCCAACAACCAAAATGTAGAAATAAATAGGATCACAATGTGTATGATCTCCAACAATGATGATAATAACAACAATATAATCTAATCAACGTGAACGCAAGGAAAGCAATAAACGAACACAAAGATTTAATACGGTTCCACTGTTGGTGATGATAGTGTATACCTACAAGGAGAGATAAAGACATGTATAATAATAACCAACTTAAGAAATACAATAGATATTTTACTTTACAATGCAAACAACATGAAGCAAAAAAGAAAATCACAACAAAACGTCCATGAGAGTACGCAATGAAGTTATACCAAATTATGACCTAGAATTCATAATAAAGTCTCTGATGTCAGGCCACTTGGTCGATGAGCACCAAGACGCAAGCTAACTCCCGATTCTAAAATTGCCTTGTGCAACTTATCCATGCGACTTGAACTTGCATGCACATGTCACAACGACTTGAAAACATCTCGCATGCAACTTTCAATTTATGTACCATTGTTGTAAGCTTTTTGGGAACTTCTTAAACCAAAATAAATGAAGATCAATACAAGTATAAATTTAAAATCAGTGTTATTTTTAATAAATAATGAAGTGGTAAAATTCCAATTGTGGGTCCATAGGGACAAAAGGTCAAAGATCTTAAAGGCAAACTACAAAAAGTTAGTTTAGATGTTGAATTCGGTGAAAATATTTCATTTTTTATATAAAAAAATTACTCTAAATAATATTAAGAGTGTTTGGCTTTTGTCTTTCGGATCTTAATACCAATTATCGGTCAAGCAAGAAACTTTTGTTGTTGTAGTGTCCACGACCACCTGTTGCAAGGTCATCACAAAAGAGAGAAAAATGAGCGACATGAGAAGATGACCAATGTGAAAGGGAGGAAGAAAAGAATGATGTGAACGGTTTAATTAAAAACTTTTTAAAATCATATACCTCAATATATGCACAAAAAACCGAAGATCGAAGCCGGGCCTATGGCAGGCCTAAAAGCCAAATCAAGCCAAGTTTTTTTCAAAAGCCCGAAAAAGTTTGAGCTTAAAAAAGTTGCGCTATTTTTCTTTTTGTTTATTAAAATTATGCTTGGAAGCCCTAACCCCGAAAAACTTGGGGGGATTATTTTTTGTCTTGTTGATCAAGATTTAAACTTAAGAGTTATTCCAGTATCATCAATGAAATGAAAAAGTTTGAGCTTAAGAGTTATTCCAATGTCAGCAATCAAATGAATCTTGTTGATCAAGACTAGTTTTTGTCTTATCCTCTTGCACACAAAGGACAAACTCATACTTCTCAAAATAAAGCACTCGTACGTAGTCACCCTGTTGTCTCCAAACGTGCTTACTTACTTTGTGAAAGACCATTGTTCATATACGGCCAAAAGCTTGTATATCTGAAGACAAATGACAAACTCACCTCTAGAAGCGTGCCACGTGCCTTGTACTGTCTGACTTACATTTAATGCAGTGGGTATAAATATCCATGAAGTCCCTCCTCTTCATAAGAGTCTTCAGATCTTCAAAATACCCAACAAGAGACACACATACAAGCACAAACTTCTAAACTTTGCCAAGTTACGTTTACTTCAAGTGAAGAACACCAACTAAGCTCTCCATCTAGAGAAGTTATTGCTTCTTCTTTTTAGCAAGTCTTTTCTTCCTTGCTATCTATATCTTGTGTGTTCCTTAGATTGTCTTAGCTAAGTTATGTATCTTGTCTTATTCCGCAAACAATCTGTAAGTTCTGTATTGATATTCTTAATCAATAAAAGATTTTTAAAAGTGAAAATATTTGTGTGTTTGTATTCATTCCCCCTACAAACTGTTACCTTTAAACTCTTGTAGATCTGTATAAGACCAACAAGTAGTGTCGGAGTAGTGTTTTATTATATCTTCTTTCTTAAGATAATTACTTTACCATTCTTAAACGACATTGCAAAACACAAGCACAAACTTTCACGATAATGGTTCTCTAGCCAAACCTCCCCAGTTTATCAGAGACAACTTCAGTCTTTGGAAGAATCGGATGTCTCTTTTCTTAGAAGGCGTGGATCCTGAAATTTCATACTATAATGAAAATGGACCTTACGTTCCATTTGCAATATCTCCAGCAGTTCCTACAACTGCTACGACTAACCCCATACCTGAAAGGTAGATTTCAAAACTCCTTCATCAATGGAGTGACGAATACAAGAAGAAAATGGATTTTGATACTAGAGCTAGATCTATAATAGCCATGTCTATTCCTAACGAGGTTTATCACTCTGTTATGAAGCTAAGAACCTCAAAATCCATGTGGGCACTCTTTATATTCAATATGAAGGTTCATCTGAAGTACAATAATTGAGGAAGACTAATTTAGTAAGACAATATGAAAGTTTTCTCTGTGAAAAATCTTAATCTTTGTCTGAAGTACATCAACGCTTTAATTGTCTTCTTATCAATCTAAGGATAGTTGAAAGAGTGTTAGCTCCAATATTTGCTTAATGTAAAAATATGAAAAAGATTTCTGCAAGTGTTGACAGAAGGGTTTCTTCCACAGAAGACAACAGAGGACCGGCAACAGAAGCTGTTTGATCGTACAAGTCAAGATTGACAGAACCTCTGTTGTCTCTCACAGAGGTTCTGGAAAATGGTCCTCTGTTATCAAGAGCTTACAAGTCATATGCAGCAGAGCCTCTGGGATGGCTCACAGAGGGTCTGCGGTTCATCTTCTGTGGAGAACCTCTTCTTACTGTTTTACTTAGGTAGTTAGCTGCATGTGCTTCTCACGTGACTATGTTTGTAATCGTCTTTATTTGGACGGCTTGGATCGTTTCACACGTCTAGGTCATGTCAGAAAAGCCGTTAGGAACTAGTATAAATAGCAGCTAGGCCTTTGTAATTTTGTGTGCTTCCCGTATTGTAATCGTCTTATTTTCAATTCAATTGAAAAACCTTTGAAGCTATTCTCTCGTGTTCATCATTCTTATATATTGTGTGTTCTTGATTCTTACTCTGTTTGTTCTTATATTGTTTTCGCTGCACTTTGATTGTCTTAAAGATCATCCAGAGTATTTGATTGATATCAAAACTGAGTTTACAGGTCCTAACAATTGGTATCAAAGCAGGAATCGAATTCTTATTTGATTAATTCTGTTCTTGGTATTAATCTGCTTTTGTTCTAGAACACCAGTCTTCTTCTTCAGGTTACAACTACGAGATTATGGCTACTCTGTCAACAAGATCCCCATCCTCTGTGATTCAAAGAGTGCTATTGCTATATCAACCAATCCAATGCAACATTCCAAAACAAAACATATCGACATAAGGTACCATTTCTTAAAACATCAAGTTGAAGAAG